CAATAGCTAGCAATCCAAAACAGTCCAGTGAAGCCTGAGCGGTGGGTGTTGCCTTCTGACACACTCCCGGTGACGTCAGGGGGCGTGGCATATGCAAATAAGTTATGCTAATGAGCCCCTGCACCGCTTTTTCTACGAATTGACCCCGATATTGTCCACTCTGACTGGCAGCTGCTCTCCAGGGTCTCAGTTTCACATCACCTGACCCTCTGAACCGGAGATGCCGGGGACTGAACCTGGGACCTTCTGCACGACAAGCAGAGGCTTTCCCACTGAGCCACGGCCCCTCCCCAGCCTCCAAGAAAGCTTAGCAGCTCCTCTACCCTCCCCTTTCAAAACACCCACCTGATGTTGCCTGTACAGCAGAGGGAAGGTAAATGCACTTATAACTCCTGGAGAAAGAGAGAGAAAGAGAGGTTAATGCAATACTCTTGTCCATTTCCGCCCCAGCGTCCCTAGCTGGTATCTGACAGGACAGGAGAACATGGACTCAAAAGTAACGTTTTGCCCACGATCATGCCTCACACGTTGACTGGTTTGTGTCACCGCTCCTTGTCCACCGCTCCTAACCACTACACCAAACTGGTCACACACACACCCCCGGAGATGCACCTGAAGAAAACAGTGGCAGCTCTTGGTGTGGCTTCCAGGGGAAGTGTGTCCAGAGGCACACAATCCACCCGCCCCTGCACATGCACATGCAGACGCACACACAATAGTGCCTTACCCAGAATAAGCAGAGTCATCCCGTTGAACACGGCTCCCACGTACGTGAGGATGTAGAACAAGAAAGCAAACTAGAGAGCGGAAGAAGAACACGGAAAGAGAGTGAGACGTTTCCCTTCTCCTGGCTTAGAACCAAATCCAGAAAGTTTCAAGAGCTGGCAGAGGGCAAACAGCTGAGAACTGAAGGAGGAGCTGCCCTCCGACTAGCAAGAACGCATCTCCGTCTCATTCGTTCATTCATTCTCCCCATCAGCAGCCGGGGCACACTTTGGCCCAAGCAACAAACCGGAGACCGGAGGCCAGTCTGCCGGTTGAGCCTTCAGGACACAATAATCCTCTTGGCACTCTGGATATGGTTCGGGTGCAAAGCTCACTTCTAAGCTGCGGAGTCTTGTGGGCAAAAATTCTACTTTGTGAGCTACTGGCATTAAAGTTGTGAGCGAGCGATTTGGCTGCTGCATACATCAGTTTGCTCTGGAGCCCCGTCCTTCCTGAGCTCAGATGAAAATGTGTGAGCCGGAGGCTAAAAGACTGTGAGCCAGCTCACACTAACTCAGCTTAGAGGGAGCACGGGTTGGGTGTGCTCGTTACCGGATGTGGGAACCAAACAATGGGGAGAGGGGGATGAGGAACCGATGCGCCCTCTAAGCTGTAGAGTCTTGTGAGCAAAAATCCTACTTTCTGAGCGACTGGCGTTAAAGTTGTGAGCAAGTGATTTGGCTGCTGCATAAATTAGTTTGCTCTGGAGCCCTCCTTCCTGAGCTAACACAAAAATGTGTGAGCTGGAGGCTAAAAAAACAGTGAGCTAGCTCACATGAACTCAGCTTAGAGGGAACACTGGCAGGGAGGCAACGACAAAACACAAGTTTACCATGTGTCACGATACGTCACTGTGTATAATACGTCACATATGGCTTTATGTTTCTTAACAGCTGTTCATCGCCTAGAGCCCCACATTGGTGGGGACGAGGCGATTCAAATGTGATGAAATAAACAAATAAGCCCCATGTGTCCCAGCTAACTTTCTAAAGACACTCGACAGGTGCCGGGAAAGGTGTTGGCGGGGCACCCTGTTGGAGACCCCAGGCCTAAGCAGAGCTCTCACCTTAATGGACTCCACCAAGTCGTCCACCAGGAAAAGGCGCTGTATGGACCGAGTGCCCGAGGTGGTGTAGAAGACTACCCGCTCCGTCAGGCGTTCCAGCTGCTCTTTGGACAGCCCCAGGTCTGCATCCAGCTGAGCCCTGCCCAAGAGGGGAGGAGGAAGGAGGGGAAGGTCAGCGGTGGGAGGCCGGCAGGCGGAGGGAACTGCCACGCCGAGGGGGAGGCGCTCCCGCACAACCCCCCTGGAGATGGACGAGGAACACGGCTGCTCCCCACCCACCCCCGGGGTCCCCGCAAACGCCTCGGGTTGCTCTTTGGACAGCCCCAGGTCTGCATCCAGCTGAGCCTGCCCAAGAGGGGAGGAGGAAGGAGGGGAAGGTCAGGGGTAGAAGGCCGGCACGCGGAGGGAACTGCCACGCCGAGGGGGAGGCGCTCCCGCACAACCCCCTTGGAGATGGAGGAGGAACACGGCTGCTCCCCACCCACCCCCGGGGTCCCCGCAAACGCCTCGGGGTTCCCACTCCGGCTGACTCACTGGAAGGG